GGGGCGGGGTAGGGCAGGGCGGCCGCCTCCCGCCAGCCCCGAGCCCGGGCTCGCCGTGCTCCGCTGGGACGCATCGGGCCCTGGAACCGCCGCGGGGCGATGGCTGTGACCGGCCGCCGCAAGGACCCCGGAGCGGCAACCCCGGGCTCGGGGACCGGCCTCCTCCCGCCCCGCTGCCGCCGCCTCCCCGGGCCCCGGCGGGAACCGCGTTCTCCGTGCGGGGTCCTGTCCCGCACACACACACGGCCTGTGTTAGGCGGGACCTACGTCCAAAAAGGCTGAAAACGCCGCGAGTTTAACGAAGAAGAGTTTATTTGACTGGAAGCGACCGGGGAGGGAGCGGGGATGGGTGCGGGGTGGGTGCGGGGGGTCTCTGGGAGACCATCCCCGGTGCCGGGGGTTGATGTAGCCGAGCTTTGCCTTCAATACCAGGCTGCAGCGTGGGGATGGGGGGGCTCCGAGAGGGTGTCCCCCTGGAACACCCCCCCCGCGCCCTGCTCTTCAGGAAAGGGCTCCTTAAATAGCACCGAGGCTGCTCCTCGGGGCACCCTGTCCCGGAGACGTGGCGCCCGGGGGCTTAGGGGGGCCACGTTGGCAGAGCTCTCCGGGGGGTAGGGAGCTCTGCTCGGCTCCTGTGAGCCTGCCTTAATCCCGGGAAACTTCAACACGGGCTTCTTAAAATTATAATTAGACTGAGGCTGCTGGCAGCGCCAGCTCGTTATGCAACCGCCGTGACGGGGGAAGGAGGATGTTTTCCAGGGCTGTTTAGTTCATCCCTGCTTCCCAGCCGGAGGACGTTTCTCCCTGACCTAACCCACCTTTTTCTTTCTTTTTTTTTTGAATTTTTAATTTCTCACCTCTCTCTCCTGCGAGCTGCTCTCGGGGCTCGATCCCCAGGGGCTCCGCGCAGGGAGTGACGCGGCGTGTGCTCCCTCCCGCAGGAACGGCATGGCAGCCAGCACCGGTGGCGGCGGCGGCGGGACGGCGGCGACGGCAGCGGCAACGGGGGAACCGGCGCACGCGGTGTCGCTGCTGCGGGGCCTGAGCGCGCTGCGTGCGGAGAGGAGCCTGCTGGACGTGACGGTGGTGGCGGGCGGCAGGGAATTCGGGGCACACCGCGCCGTCCTGGCTGCCGCCTCCGGTTATTTCCGCGCCATGTTCGGCGGGGCGCTGCGGGAGGCGAGGGCCGAGCGGGTTCGGCTGCACGGCGTGGAGCCCGAGTGCTTGGCTCGCCTCCTCGACTTCGCTTACACCGGCCGGGTGGGCGGGCTGGGCCCCGACATCGCCGAGCGCCTGCTGCGTGCCGCCGACCTGCTGCAGTTCCCCGCCGTCAAGGAGGCCTGCGGGGCCTGGTTGGCACGCCAGCTGGAGCCTGCCAACGCCTTGGACATGCAGGACTTCGCCGAAGCCTTCGCCTGCCCGGCGCTGGCGGCTGCCGCCCACCGCTTCGTCCTGCGGCACGTGGGCGAGCTGGGCGCCCAGCTGGAGCGGCTGCCGCTGCCGCGCCTCCTCTCCTACCTGCGGGACGACGGGCTCTGCGTCCCCAAGGAGGAGGCCGTTTTCCAGCTGGCGCTGCGCTGGGTACGCGCCGACCCGGCTGCCCGTGCCCCGTTGTTGCCGCAGCTGCTGGCCCACGTCCGCCTGCCCTTCGTGCGCCGCTTCTACCTGCTGGCCCACGTGGAGGGCGAGCCGCTGGTGGCCCGTTGCCCGCCCTGCCTGCGCCTCCTGCGTGAGGCACGCGACTTCCAGGCCGCCCGCCTCGACCGGCACGACCGGGGGCCCTGTGCCCGTATGCGCCCTCGCCCCTCCACCGGCCTGGCCGAGATCCTGGTCCTCGTCGGAGGCTGCGACCGCGACTGCGATGAGCTCGTCACCGTCGACTGCTACAACCCCCGCACCGGGCACTGGCGCTACTTGGCCGAGTTCCCCGAGCACCTGGGAGGGGGCTACAGCGTCGCGGCCCTGGGCAACGACATCTACGTCACCGGTAAGAGCACGGGGCACGGCAGCGCTAGTGCTGGGATTTCCAGTGCAAATATGGGGGTTCTAGCGGGGAGACTAGCCTGGCAGAGAAGGACCTGGGAGTCTTGGTCAACTGTGGGCTGAACGTGAGCCAGCAGTGTGCCCAGGTGGCCAAGAAGGCCACCAGCATCCTGGCCTGGATCAAGAACAGTGTGGGGAGTAGGACCCGAGAGGTGATCATCCCCCTGTACTGGGCACTGGTGAGACCCCACCTCGAGTGCTGTGTCCAGTTTTGGGCCCCCCACCACAAGATATTGAGGGGCTGGAGCAGGTCCAGAGAAGGGCAACGGAGCTGGTGAGGGGTCTGGAGAGTAAGTCTGATGAGGAGAGGCTGAGGGAGCTGGGGGTGTTCAGTCTGGGGAAGAGGAGGCTGAGGGGAGACCTTCTTGCTCTCTCCAACTCCCTGAAAGGAGGGTGTAGAGAGGTGGGGGTCGGTCTCTTCTCCCAAGTTACAGATGACAGGACAAGGGGTAATGGCTTCAAGTTGCGCCAGGGGAGGTTTAGACTGGACATTAGGAAACAATTATTCACAGAGAGAGTGGTCAGACACTGGAACAGGCTGCCCAGGGAGGGGGTTGAGTCACCATCCCTGGCTGTGTTTAAGAACTGTTTAGATGTGGTGTTGGGGGATATGGTGTAGGGGAGAACTTTAGAGTAGGGCGGATGGTTGGACTCGATGATCTCGAGTGTCTCTTCCAGCCTGGATGATCCTGTGATTCAGTGACTGGGCTTTGCTTGGGGCAGTGGAGTCTGAAACAGCTCGGTCAGTGTGGCTGCAGCCTGGAGACAGGCAGGAGGGACTCCCGGAGTCGGTGCTGGATTTAGCAGCTGGTCTGGATCCAGGAGGAGGTGTTTTGCCATGACTAACGCTCCCGAGCGCGTGGGCAGAGGTCACAGACCTGGTCCTGGTGGAACTTTCTAAGTGCTCGCGCTGGGGAACAGAAGGGACCTCCTGTGATTCAGTGACTGGGCTTTGCTTGGGGCAGTGGAGTCTGAAACAGCTCGGTCAGTGTGGCTGCAGCCTGGAGACAGGCAGGAGGGACTCCCGGAGTCGGTGCTGGATTTAGCAGCTGGTCTGGATCCAGGAGGAGGTGTTTTGCCATGACTAACGCTCCCGAGCGCGTGGGCAGAGGTCACAGACCTGGTCCTGGTGGAACTTTCTAAGTGCTCGCGCTGGGGAACAGAAGGGACCTGAGAGGGTTTTGAATTTCTGGCTGCTGAGAAGGCGTTGGGGTTCAGGGCCTCGTGAATCACAAGTCCAGTGTGTGCTCCGGGCCGAGGTGTGTCAGAAAACCCCCAGTTCCTCAACCAGCTGGTGCCTGTGAGTCACTGTACCTTCCCCAGCACAAATCCTGCCTCCTCACCCTCCGCTGGGGCTGTGATTACTTCTGTCAAGGTGACACAGATGTATAAATTTGGCTGTTAATCTGCACGTAGAAGCCTCCGGTGAGCTACATCCCCGTAGCTGGAGCGGAGCCCTGCGGTGGCCTCAATGAAACCAGATGCTGCAGAACTGCTGGCTCTGGGGGTGCAGGGGGTGCTGACAGAGACTGGGAGGGCAGGTCAGATGCAGGTGAAGAGAAAACCGTTCCCTCTCTCGTTAGTGAGTGGAAAATGAGGCTACGCTTTAAGGGTGGAGTTGTAAAAATGGTGGGCTAGCACATGGCTTGTTTTTGTGGATGCCCTCGTGTCTCAAAGGAGTTTTTGGGAGCCCCCCCAGGGGGGTCTGGGGGGCAGAGGTTCTGCTGAGAGCCCTGTGCTCTGGTGATGTGGCTGCTGGCGGGGATCCTGGGCTGTTCTGCTCAGTGTCAGCGTCGTGGGGAGGGCTGGGAGGTTTCCGTGGCAGCCGGGTGCTGGTGAGTGTGAGTCTCCTCCACCTCACAGCAGCTTCTGGGGAGCGACGGAGCAGTGCACGTTTACTGTGCCCCCCTGGCACTGAAATATCTCCCTAATCATAGAATCGTCTGGGTTAGAAGAGACCCTTGGGATCATCGAGTCCAACCATCTCCCCTACTCTACAAAGTCCTCCCCTACACCATGTCCCTCAGCACTGCATCTAAACGGCCCTTAAACACAGCCAGGGATGGGGACTCCACCCCCTCCCTGGGCAGCCTGTTCCAATGCCCGACCACTCTTTGGGTGAAAAATTCCTTCCTAATGTTCAGTCTAAACCTCCCCTGTTGGAGCTTGAAGCCATTCCCTCTCATTCTGTCGTTAATTCCCTGTGAGAAGAGACCAGCCCCAACCTCTCTACAGTGTCCTTTCAAGTAGTTGTAGAGAGTGATGAGGTCTCCCCTCAGCCTCCTCTTCCTCACACTAAACAGCCCCAGCTCCTTCAGCCGCTCCTCATACGATTTGTTTTCCAGCCCCCTCACCAGCTTCGTTGCCCTCCTCTGCACTCGCTCCAGCACCTCCAGATCTCTCTTGGATTGAGGTGCCCAAAACTGGACCCAACACTCGAGGTGTGGCCTCCCCAGTGCTGAGTCCAGGGGCACAATCACCTCCCTACTTCTGCTGGTCACACTATTTTTGATACAAGCCAGGATGCCATTGGCTTTCTTGCCCCCCTGGGCACACGCCGGCTCATATTCAGCCGCTTGTCAACAAGAACCCCCAGGTCTCTTTCCTCCAGGCAGCTCCAGCCACACTTCCCCCAGCCTGTAGCGCTGCAGGGGGTTATTGTGGCCCAAGTGCAGGACCTTGCACTTGCCCTTGTTGAAACTCATTCCATTGGCACTGGCCCAGTGATCCAATCTCTCTAGATCCTTTTTTTTTTTTGCCCAGCCATCCCTGGCTGTGTTTAAGGGCCGTTTAGATGCAGTGCTGAGGGACATGGTGTAGGGGAGGACTTTGTAGAGTAGGGGAGATGGTTGGACTCGATGATCCCAAGGGTCTCTTCCAACCTCAATGATTCTATGATTCTATGATCCTCTTGCAAAGCTTCCCTATCCTCCTGGGAGTCAACACTCCTGCTTAACTTGGTTGTACCTCCAGACACAGTCTGGTAACACACGGCCCTGGGACGCAGAAAAGCACATGTGGGTGTTAAGGAGGGGTGGCTGGAAGAGGCAACAAAGCTCCTCGTCAAAGCCCCCTCCTCCATCACCCCATGGTTGTTGACTTTGTGAAACCCTGCCCCAAGCTGTGCTGAGCCATGCCATGCTGTGCTGTGCTGCAGGAGGCTCGGACGGGTCGAGGCTGTACGACTGTGTCTGGAGGTACAACTCCAGCGTGAACGAGTGGACGGAGGTGTCCCCCATGCTGAAAGCCAGAGAGTACCACAGCTCCACCGTGCTGGACGGGCTGCTCTACGTCATCGCCTCCGACAGCACGGAGCGCTACGACCACTCAGTGGACACCTGGGAGGCCCTCCAACCCATGCTCTACCCCATGGACAACTGCTCCACCACCTCCTGCCGCGGCAAGCTCTTCGCCATCGGCTCCCTGGCCGGCAAAGAGTCCATGGTCATCCAGTGCTACGACCCCGACAGCGACCTCTGGTCCCTTGTCAACTGTGGCCACCTGCCCCCCTGGTCCCTGGCCCCAAAGACCGTCACTCTCAACGGCCTCATGTACTTCATAAGGTGAGTTGGGGGGCGATCACCCACCTCCCCACAGCCCCAGGGTCTCCCCGGGAGGGTGTGTGGGTTTTGTGGGTTGTTTGTAGGAGAACAGCGCGTTGGGAAAGCGAAGCAGGGCTTCTTCTGATGGTGCAGGTGGCTCTGTGAGCCCCCACCCCGCTTTCCTTCGCTTCTCTCCTAGCTTGACCTCAAAGAACTACTCTTCAAATTGTGTAAAAATGTGTGAGTCCAAACCCCCAGGCTGGGGAGCAGCCAGGTACAAATCCAGCTGGAGTCAGCAGCGCTGCTTGGAAATAGACTTCTCGGTTTTCTTGGCTTCTGGTCC